GCAAAGCGTTGACCAGCTTCGTATCCAAGACATATAACACAGATCTCACATTGGACAGTCAAGCAACCAAGTGGTTTGAAGAAAAGGTTCCCCTTGAAGAGACCTGGGTACCGCAGCTCCTTCTAGCCTTCGACCTGCTTGTACGAGCATTTGAGTTCCTTTCCTGTACTGCGGTGGGGCCAGGTAGAGACCATGGTACTTATGACTCCGGCCCTAGTGGACTCTCCGAAGCCCCTACCCTTCATATGTCTTGGGGCGATAGCGAAGAGGTTAGAGAGTGGAAGGTTGTAATGGACTGGTGGATGGGCAAATGCAGCTTTTGTGCAGGACGAGGAGTGCAAGGCCCACAAATCGAGCATACCCTACGCCAGTGCCCACGTGGTGGGAAGCAGGTTCTCAGCTCAGAGTTAGCAGAGGGAATCTACGAAGAAGGCTTCCGTGCTCGCGGAGGCTGCCGGAGATGTGCTCTGCCTCGGGAAGTCTGTCAGGCATGGGAACAAGATACATTTGGGGAGTGGTGTTTTCATCCGAGAGTCCGTTGCCAGTACGGAAGCCAAGCTTACGATACTGCCATTGGATTCTTCTTCTGCAAGAGCTCTCGTTACCGTATAGAGCTTATGGAGAGTATGTCAGAGGAGGGTTTGAATGATCTTGATGAAGAGTCGGTGGCTGTTTGGTTAGGAAAGAAGATAACCGTAACAGGTGTAGAGGCCTCTGAAATTATGAGGCAGTTGAGATGGTGGTCGCAAATGGTTTGGAAACGTACGAGGGTAAATAGTGCAGGAAACTAACCAGATATGAGTCCCATAGTAGTAAGGACAAAGTACGTAGTAGAATTCAAGGCTGTATGCAATTAAGCCAATAACTTGCACTATTTAAACCCTATGATCAAGGGCATCAAAGGCTACAATCCAGAAGGCGAATTCGACTTGGGGTTAAAAGCCACCAGCACATTTCTCGGCTAAATTAAATTATGGGCCCCTTTCTAAGGCTCTAATTAGCATTCCGAGCCAAATTTATTCAATTTTGATTAATATTGTAGCCGTGGCATGTCATCCAGTATAGCGAAGGTTGGACTCTCGATCGAGCGTCACATTTCCTATTACGGAATAGTGAAGTTTGTCTGTCAAGCGTTACATTTCCTATTATGGATTAGTAGATCCTATCAGCCAACTTAGTCATGCTTGCAGTGTCACATGCCAATGCTCCACCTAATAATAATTTGGGAGCCCGTAGTGGCTCATAAGCGAGCTGACTAGCTTTAGTTATACCTGACATGGAATTTTTTAAAAGCATAACTTATATAGAGTCGAGAAATCCTATCTCTTACTTATTCAGCCCCAAATTCAACTATCAGCTGTTTATTTATAACTCAAGAATAAAGCCAATAGTATGTTGGTAGTTAAGTCGCTTAATAAAGACAGATTCGTGCTAAAATGAATTGTATAGGGTAGCAAAAACAAAGCGCATTCAGATAAAGAGACCCTGTTTTCGCGAGACGCGTTACGTCACCTAAAATAGCTAGCGCCAACTTAATAGCGCGTCTCTCAATATGCCTCCAAGTACCGGAATTTTTATATGTAACTCCTTACACCTGCATTATCTTAAAACAAAGTCTCTTAATTACCAAATATCACTTATCTCGCTTATCTGGACCGCTCAGGACAGTTATACGATAAGAGTAGCAATGAAGGTTCGATTTGTTGGCACAAGAAAACAAGATAGCGCTACGTGACGTCGCCGAGCCCTACAAGCAAATCGTACACGAAACTACCGGCAGCGCCAGAAGGCAAGGGAGGACACTACTGCGATAAAGCATCAGGGCGAATCATTGTCAGATGCAGCTGGCTTGGTGGCAGGCAACGAAGCACCAGGGCCTGAGAGAAATTCATCCCTCGAGAATGATGAGATTGAAGAAGATGGTACATTTGCCTGCGATAATTTTACGATCTCCATTCTGGAAGTCGATGATTCCACAATCAGCACTACCGAGGTAGATCCATACTATGAGGAGGAAATAGTTGACACCTCTCCTGCTGAAGAAGACGAAAGTCAAACACAGCCCCAAAGCCCACAAATCTATGCCGAGAAGTCAGTCGATCTGGCTACTAACGATGCTAACGATGATGTTGAATATGCTACACAGAAGTTTATTCAGCAGTTTCTCACTGGCATACATGGCTGTGGTGTCCAGAGCCATCGAGAATCCCTGATTGCTCACATCGAAGCTGAGGGACCAGAAAATCACCATAGACTTGATAGATTAGTTGCCCCTGATATACCCCATACACTTGATAAAGAGTACATTCTCGCCGCTGAAACTGGCGACAAGACAACGGAGCTTAGTCCGGATCAATGGCGGGCATTATTTACCGGTTCCACAACTCAAGGCTCAGATAATAAACCCAAGCAGGCTTGCCTTCACGTCGAACAGGCCCCTCAGACTCCACCTGGTATTTCATTCGATGTCGATAGCATCTTGGGGTTTGTGGATTCTCCGGCAGTTGCAACTCATGGAATTCGGTTTTATTCCGCTCCCCAGTATTGTCAGAATATCTCCACCCACGTCCACCTGACCTTGGGTCGTGCGGATCCAGATTCGGAGCGTCCCCGGTTGATTCCGTCGCGACTGAGAGACGTGCCGCATTTCATCTTCGCGAGGACC